CATCAACATGTACTGCGTTTCCCCATACACAGGCCCAAAAGAGGTTGAATTGTACAAACCCCAGGCATTACATGATGAGCGGAAGGTAACTTATAAGCGCCGAGAGAAGCGTAAGGCACGGGAGAATGCAGAGGCAAATTACTTAAGTATAGAAAGGTGGGTGTCGTGTTTGTGCTCTAGTGTCACTGCTAACTTTTTTCAACTCCTGTTAGGCTTAGCATCATGGCTAAATTGGACAATTCAGGGGGCAAAGAGTCAACCCCCAATGCTGAGAACCTATGTCTGACTCTACTCACCATTGCTGTAGAGGAGCTGGAGCTTGTAGTGAGTGCCGTTGTTTGTTTTCTCTCCTGTCTGCTCCTTGGCAAGAGAGGAAAGACAGACAAATACTATGCATGCAGTTAAGCAAATTTGGGCCACAGATAAGTACAGCTGGGCATCCCCATGCATTGTTAAGCATCTCCTAATCCTGCGGCTCACCCTTCCCTGGGAGCATCATCGAGATCAGAAGGTTGTAGGCTCAGGGCCCACAGGGGAGCTGGCATTGTGTCCATAAGCTGAGTGCTTAACCTTGAGTTGGATGTTCTTTGTAGAGGTTGAACTAACATGTCTGATACAGACTCTTAAAACCTTTAGATCAAATGTAGTGGTCCTCCTGGCAGCAAGGTGCTACAGGCATGGTTATATGAGCTTGTGTGGGTGTGCAAAGTGTGTTCCGGTGAGTGGAAAGTACTGTATGTGAGACTGAGCCGCAGTCGACCTTGACAGAAAAACTTCCTTTCCGCTATCCCTTCTTCCCCCAGGCTCTCCACTAGCCGCTCACTTCTTTCTTCTCTCCCCATCTCTGTTTCTTATTCCCCCTCTTTCTTTCTCTTCCTCTACCTCTACTGGTCTTTCTAAGTGGTCTCAGAGGAATGCTCTCTGGTCCAATAACCCAAGGAGGCTGGCATCACAGAGACGAGAGCAAGAGAGGAGGAGAGAGAACGAGGAGGTCGGGGGGAGTAGAGAAAGTGGGAAAAGGAGACTGTTGTAAGGAGGGAGGAAGAAGTGAGGAAATTAAGATGCATGACGATAAGTTGGAAAGTAACCGAGCTCAAACATAATATCAGAAGTGAGACTGGGGCACAACAGGAGATATATGGATGCCTAGCTTCATAAGTTTTGTAAATATACACAGAGGAACATTTATTTCGCCATGCCATCGCTCTACCTCTGCATAATTACAAAGCAAAAACAGATGCCAGGGTAACCATGCAGAAAATGAACTCCTCTGCTGCCATCATATTACTCTGCACCGACCTGTGGGGCACAAAGGGGAGCACACTGACAGCTTTCAGCCCTGGCATTAGCACCACCGCCTGTCCTCCCTACCCCCGTGAAATTCACAGTAAAACTATGTTTGAACTTCAGCTGACAGGAGGGTGTCCTCTTGTCTTTCTCACAAAGGAGAGCTGTTGTTGGCAGTTTAAGAGATTCTCGCTCCCCTCACCGCAAGGTAAAAACATCCATCAGCACTGGGCATAAGGCTCCCACTCCAGGCAGTCTCCTCTCTCTGGTCTCTTTCTAACTCCACACAGCACCCTTCCTTACTTTGGTGCTGTCCAGCCTGAGGAATCCAGCTCCCCCCACCGCAGTATTTAAAGTAGGGGAGGGGGGACAGGAAGGAAAAGAGACTTTGATGATTAGTTCGCTGTATAACTCAGGAGCAAGCATAATTTGCATTTTAAAAAGTAGTGATGTCCTCCTAATGAGGCAAGCTGCTAATTAGTCATTAGATATTCCTTTTCAATCCCACATCAGCTCATTGAGGTTAAAGCTTGTGTAAACATGTAGCCATCAGCTGTTCGATATGCTTGGCTTTACTGGGGATGGGGAAGATCGAGCTGAGCACCTGATCACAGCTGACATATACTGTAAATGACTAACACATCGCTGCTGTTTTTATTTACAGTTTTGTTTGAAATTTAACTTTTTTTTTTCCTGGAGGAAGACGGCAAATTGGTGACTTCCTCTAACATCATTAAGACAGAGAAGCGTTCAGAAACACTCACACACCTTCTCATGCTCAACAAAGTCCACAAAGGCGGTCCTCTCCACCTCCACAGGTTGGCCGTGCCTGTCATAGAGCGCCAGGACAAAGTGGAAGAAGTTGGACTTGCGGAGATTGGAGGGCGGCTGCTTCTCAAAATGAGCTCTTGACAAAGCCACTCCACTGAGGAAGAGGAGGAGGAAGAAGAGACAAGTCTTCTAGCAATGTACGTATATAATCATTTGGTTGAAAATGTTTCTAAAACACAAATAATAAATAAACAAATACCCTTTTGCTTGCACTCAATAATGAAAATTAAATTATTATAAAGGAAGTTATTCAAATGTTAAAACTATTTCAAATAGGACGATTTTCCCATTCGTTGTAAAGGTTTTTATTCTCCACTTGTTAAGGTCTTAGGTTTATCCACACAATAATTATAATTAGCAAAAACCATACAGCCAAAGATAACAGATCATTTATATTTCGTTGTCCCCGTTACTTGAAGGCTCTTTTACTTGTCTAGAAGAACCCAGTCTGGCCTGGAATCTGCACAAAAACCAAGGCAAAAGGGGAAACAGGAGAAGTAAAACTTGCTAAAACTGCTTTAGCTTGAGAACGGAAAGGTCATAGAAGTTAACCATTTTTTATTATGACTGAATTTAGAGCATCGTGCTTAAAAATGTAGGCTACAAATTGTTATTAAAAAAAACTATCTGCACGTTTTTCTGTTAATATAACTTGGGCATAAAGTGGGCCATGTTCTTCCATAATATGACATTATTGATTTTGTCCCTAAACATTTTTTCTAAGCACAATCCTGAGTAAAAATTTGTCTATGACCACTTTCTTTGTAAAATACTATAACAGAGGTATTTTAGTTTCATTCTAACGCCCAATAATCTATATATAGTAGCCACATTGCTGCATCATTTATAAATTTCCATTGTTATTTTACATATTTTTGGATATGCATAATACCAGTTAATTTGTTGCATAATTTTGCGTTTTTATTGTCTTCTAAACTTTGGTCACAACACGAAAACACCGACGTGCCTGTGTTGATAAGAAAAGCGTGGAGAGGATGTTTGGAAAACAGTCTGAGACAAGCAGAAGAACAATACAACAATGCAACACAGTTTTTTTTTTAATTCAGCCGATTTAAAAAACTGTGAAATTAAAAATATGTGCCCGGTTTTTCAGCCACAGGCTGCTACATGAGAAACCGGAGCTAGGGCAGTTAAAATAACTGGTTTTTAGAAAAACACACATATTTAGCTTTTGTCATATAGGCTTATATGTCTTATATCACATTTAATTGTGTAAATTAAATATGGAACTAAGTTGACATTTTGCAGGAGTAAATCATTTGATCAAATGCTGCTTGTGTGTTACTTTATGCCAAACTCTAATAATTATGATTTTTAATTGTAAATTTGGCAATATACTATAGGACTTTGTGCACATAACCAGAACTTTCCTTGAATTACATTAAATGTTAATGTTATTCTTTCACCATATTGACAGGAGTTCCAAAGGGGACTCGTGTCAACTTTGGCAACAAGTAGTTTGCAGCTCTTTTCTTTTAACTGATCACAGATAAACTATATTGTGCCCATGACACTAATCAAGAAAATGAATTAAATGTTGCTAACAAGTTTGAGTGTAACTAATGAAAAGACCTGACGAAACGGCAATGTCACCAGATCAGCTGGGTTTGTACTGTACCTCTGCGCCGCCACGTTTGCATCCACAACCCCGACGTTACGCACCCAGGACCGGACTGGATCCATCTCCTCTCCAAGACTTCTCTCTTTTGATCCGCTCACTTCTCGTATCAGATGTTCCTGGATCCCGAACATTTAAGCCCTGTCCTGGTCGCGTGGTGCACTATTTTGACTTTAGAACAAAGTTTAACTTGAGAGCTGAAGCACTTTGTCAAACAACAAAAGGTACACTTCGGGGCGCTGCGCTCCTCCAGAGCGCCGCAAGCTTTCTCAGAGCTGGGAGAAATAAATAGCCAGAGCTGACTGATGCTGTCAGAGGACGTCTCAATGAAAATCCACACAGGCTTTCTTTTAGGACTCAAATGATGATAATAAATATGTTCCACCACTGATTTCAAGCATTGTTCAAGCGCAAATCTCCAGCGTGAATTTGAGCGCAAACGATCACCTGCTCGGTGAGCTCAACTCCTCAGACAGTTCACAGCGAGTCCGTTTCAATGAATTCTCTAAGTATCTGTGTGCAGAAAGTCTCCTTCGCCACAAGGCCAGATCGGATCAAAACGTATATCCGAGGGCCAGGACGCCTGCAATGATCCCCTGCCTTGAAGCATGAATGAGACCCTCTGCCGGGATAGAGCGTGGAGGAGGGGCCTTAGTGCCATATGGAGGACCGATTGTTGAAATGGATGCTCTCATTGGTGTATAGTGCATCCGTTGTTTGGACTTGTGCCAGATTCAGCATCCAACCAGTGACTCTCTCAGCAAACTTTTCACACCCCAAGTTCAACGATAACACAACATTTTACACATTTGAAAGCAGAAAGTGCACATATATGAAAAGTCTGCAAGCGAGATTTGTTATTTGTGCAGTTGCAATGAAAGGTTCTCTTTGTGTGTGCGGAGCTGTGAGCAAGGGAGTGCTTTACAATCAATATACAGCCACATTCTTCAACCTCAAAATTCATTGACAGATGCTATGAAACGCCTACATTTTCTTCACAAAATGGTGCCGAATGTTTAAGAGAAGCCACTTGTTAACATTTGGTTCGGAAGTCTCCTGTATACCACGTCGGGTTTATTTAATCAAGTCAACATTTAACACAAGTGCGTTCTGGACAGGAGCATGTTCAACAGCTCCACCGTCTGCTCCTTTGAACGCAGTGATTCCGAATCTCCGCCAGCGGCGGACAGGGCTGCGCTCTGATTGGCGTCTGGACCGCTACCTGCCAGTGGTCGAAATGAGCTCTTAATCAAAACAACAAACTGTCTTACCAAATCCAAACCGCTCGTGAAATTAGTTACAAAAAGATGCTTCTTCAAGCTTTAGTTGGCAAGTGATCTATAAAAGGAAATATATAGAAGCAGATATAAAAAACTGGAATTTCGGATACAGTCTGACAAGGTTTCTTTAGCTTATGATTGGAATAATTTCTTTGCCTAAATTGTCCTTATATCTGGGCATTGTGTTGCAATAAACCGACTGGCTGTTTTTGCCAACAATGTAAATCTATATGCTCCATATTTTATATTAGCCATAATTTTGATTAGTTTATTGGATGAGTCAAAGTGGATCTGATTTGGGTTTAGGCCGAACAAAACGAAATATATAATAAGTCATATTTTGTATTACTTTTGCAGACTAAAAATTTATTTCCGCTCCCGTTCATCTGGTATTGAAAAGTTTTTCCAGCCTTGGTTCCTTGCCCCTTGCCGGGACTATTGTCTCTGTGTGGAGTTTTTGCGCCTGGACAATGAAAGTAAATCTCCCCCCTTGGATCCCGCCTCAACCCACCATCTGCCAGCGCGGGACAAAGTCAGATGTTCCCCCAATTATGAGAGCAGTCTTTGGGAATCCTGCTACCGAGTCTCCGCCCTGTCGCTGTGTCCCTCACACACTTCCCCTAACGTGATTGACAGTCCTGCTTAACCATGAAGAATCTATATATGATGACACACCGACTTTAATAAAATTCCTCCGCACGTTGTAAAACGTGCAAAATCCATTCTGAAACCCAGAGAGTTGCAGTCATTAAATGGTTTGCATCCGTGTCTCTTTTAAAAGACGCACATGGATATTGCAGCCACATCAGTGGTTTAGGTGCCTTGCTGAATAGAGGAGTTAAATATGCAAGAAAGCTCTCTGTGATTAATCTGCAAGCTAAGTATAACCAAAAGAGAAAATCTAAGATGTGGCACTCCGCCTGGCACTGAGGTGGTGTTACTTTGGGCATCCTGTTTCTGACAAGGTTTTGTTTCATTAAGAAGCAAAACAGGTCAGGTGAGCGCCTTTACTCAAATTCATAACAGCTTTTTTTCCAAAAGAAAATGTCATCTCCAAACACGACAGTGATCACCATTACGCCTTTACTGGAGAGTTTCAAAAGCCCCTTTCCACTTATCTAATAATCTTCACTTCTCCTTCACTAAGACAGTATTGTTTTAGCTCCATGTGGCAATCTATGTTATATTAATTATTTAATCGGTGGCATTATGATCGCATTGTCAAGCTGAAGCTTGCCGGTGTTGAGGACCAACTTGTCACTCCACTTCATCCCCACAGGTGCGAGAAGCTCGGCCGTGATTATTGCAACCCGCAAGACTTGCTGCCTAAATGTGTGGCTTTTCTAAATTGGTGAAGCGCAGGGCCGGGGCGAAAATGGGGGATTAGTGAAACCACAAACGTCTTTCTAATCAATTTAACCCGCTGAGACGGTCATCCCGTGTGTTTTAGAGAGGAGGCGAGGGGAGGAGGGTGAGGGGATCAGTCTCTGCTAAACCAAACAATGGGGTATCGTGTGCCGCTCGTCCTCTCCAGCATTCCCCTGCCCCCATGGGATATCCTGAGCCACTCTCTGTGGATGGGACTGTGTCCACGGAGGTCAGGATGGGCGTGGTGTGTGTGTGTGTTAGTGTGTGTGTGTTGGAGGGGGGGGGGGGGGGGGGGGAGCGGCCCCTCCCTCCTCTCCACTGTGTAGAAAACAACAGAGCTAATGTGACCCACCGTCTCCTATCGATCGCCATATATTGCACTCCTTTTTTGTTTATTTAGACAAAAATGTAGATACTCTGGGGAGTGTCGGAATCCACCATTAAAGCCAGTGACTGCCTTTAACCTCATTTCTTAATATCAAAAGTATCTGCTAAACAATTAAACATTCGGAGTCCTCTCTAAACAAGGTCTGCTGTGATTTGGAATTAACTTCGCTAAGAGTCTAATATGATCCATTCGGAATGACGGAGTGCAATCAGGGAAACATAAAACACTAGGTTTGATCAATACTACATATGAAATTTTGTAAGGATCATTAATGGACTAAAACTGTCACTAAAGTTCAAAGGTGAGTTCTGAATAGCCTATCACACAGTGACTGTGAGCCTCCATGTTGCTGCCTGTTCATCAGGTTCATAAAGTGAGACATGGTTGGCTAGAGCTCACCTTTAGCATGCACTCAGCACATTATTCCAAACTTTGAATTATTCAGCCTTTCACCGTCACTGCAGAGGGTATCATAAGATGAAAAGCACAGGAGTAGCAAATAGACTATATGATGCTTCTCTTTTATAGTTGAGTTGTGATATTGTGCCATAGAAATACCCACTTACTGAAGAACATGCATACAAACATCTTACATATACCGCGCAAACCGAGAACTTGTCTTGTCCTAGTTAACAAGCAAATCCAGTGAACCAGCATGCACCATGCCAAGGACCTGAAACTGGCCCAAATAGTGAAATCAAACCATTACTGATTGATCACACTTGTGATTTTAAGCTGTGTTCCTCTAAAACCATTCAAAATGAACAACTTTCGATATGATGGCCATTGCAGATCAATAGTCTGTAATTTTCACTTAACATCTGTTTTAGGAAACCTGTCATTGACAGGTAGGGTGAACACAGCATCAGTACTTCAAGGATGACTCACTTCTAAGTGATGAAGAGCTGAGCCTGTATTCACCCCCACTTAACTCATATACTGGCTTGTAGCAACACAGATGCACAACTAGGAAAACTCAGTTTATCTTTGTATTTGTGGGCTTTGGTTCTTCTTACCATTGCTAACTCTGAGAGACGAGACAGTCCAAGTAACTTCAAAACAGTGCTGATTTATTCAAAAGATCACAGGTAAAATTAACATTACACGCTCAGGTATCTTGCACCTCCAAACTGCACACAGGCAGATGTAAGATGAAAAGACCCTGGACCCACCAGGCCTATACATTATATCCTCTCGGTTGGGCTAGCCCCATCCTACACAGAAACGTCAACCAGGACGTCTCTGTTGCCAATTATAAACAAAGTTGAAGGCCACTTAAAGAAACGATTCAGCTTTATGATTTAACATTTGTTTGTATGACACTAGTAAAGGCTACATACACAAATCAACAGTTCAACGTGAGAACCAGCATTACGTCTTCTGTGCAGCACAGTTTCTAAAATTTATCCAAACCCAAAGATTGTGCATGTACCTGCTTTGTTGGCCTTGAAAAATTACAAGAATTGTGCATCAGTGCCATCTACTGGGTTAACAGTATCAGCTGTGGTTTTCTGGATCTCCATACAAATGTGTTATCATTTTCTTAAGTGTTGTGTCATAAATGTCATTCAGAGACAGATTAAACAGATTTATTCATAACAAATTGAAGAGGATCCAAAACAAAATCTCATTATAGTTTACATAATTACAACATTTAAGTGCCTATTAGAAAAACTGAATTTTTGTAGTATCAGGATGTTGTGGATCAACACATGAACTATTTGTTACTCAGTGAACAGCAGATGGCCTGAGAAGAAGCTGTCACTGGTCAGACTGCTTCCACCTTGGCTGGCCACCAGCCAGAGCC